GTCGTCTTCAAAGATCTAGTGGTCCCTGGTGTACTGGGTGTTGACTCAGGGAGTCTAGAATGTGCGGTCGTGCCAGTGTCTACAAGTGATGACCCTGTGGTCTCTGCTTCTACAGACGACGATCTCGTGGTGCCAGAGCCTCTCACAGAGGGCGTCGTCCTCTTCAAAGATCTAGTGGTCCCCGCTGTACTGGGTGGTGAACCAGCTGTTCTGGGACGAGCTGTTGTGCCCGGGTCTACACCTGATGACCCTGTAGTCTCTGCTTCTCTCACGGAAGGCGGCGTTGTCTTCAAAGATCCAGTGGTCCCCAGTGTACTGGGTGTTGACTCAGATAGTGTAGATTGTGAGCTCGTGCCAGTGTCTGCACTTGATGACCCTGTGGTCTCTGCCTTCACAGACGACGATCCCGTGGTGCCAGAGCCTCTCACAGAAGGCGTCGTCGTCTTCAAAGACCTAGTGGCCCCCACTGTACTGGGTGTTGACTCAGGTAATCTAGATTGTGCGGCCGTGCCAGTGTCTACACGTGATGACCCTGTGGTCTCTGCTTCTACAGATGATGACCCCGTCGTGCCAGAGCCTCTCACAGAAGGCTGTGTCGTTCTCGAAGATGTAGTGGTTCCCGGTGCACTGGGTGATGACCCTGGTGTTTTAGGTCGTGCAGTTGTGCTGAGGTCTACAGCTGATGACCCTGTGGTCTCTGCTTCTACAGATGATGATCCCATGGTGCCTGAGCTTCTCACAGGAGGTGGCAGCGTGCTGGGCACTCTAGTGTTCCCAGGGACACTGAGTGTTTGCCCTGGTGTTCCACGTTGTGCAGTTGTTCCCGGTTCAACTCCGGGGCGTCCTATGGTATGTGCTTCTGCCGATGATGACTCCATGGGGCCAGAGTGCCGTGTTGTCTCTGATTCTCCTGGTTGTGTTTCGGTTACTCCTGAGTCATCACCAGATGCTGCAGTTGTCTTTGACTTTTGACCAGGTGTGTCACCAGCTCCTGGGATGGTCGAGGACACAGTGCTTTGCATCCTGCTGGGTTCTGATGCAGCTGTACCCGTGTTCGAAGCAGACAGTTCCCTTGTTCCTGGTGTTGGCGATGATGCTCCTCTGGCCTGTGTCTGCGCATCCCCTAATCGAGTTGTTTGAGGCTTATCAGCCGTTTCTGTGGTTGTCCTTGTTCCTTTCGACAGTGAAGCTGTTGTCGTAGATGCTTGTACGTTTCGCTCAGCCGCTTCTGAACCTGTCGGGTACGATCCAGTTGTCCCTTTCACTTCGTAATCTGGTCTTCTTTCCCCAGGTTCTACAAAAGATGATCCTGTTGTTACTTTTATACAAACTATTATTCATTTGTTACTTATGTTAGCGTGGTTGTTCCTGTCACGCCTATGAAATTGCACCGTGTGGTACAGCGATGTTCCGAGCTGTCTTTCGTTTTCCCCCGGCTCGTTCTCCTTTCCCCCCTTTACCTCCTTTCTTTTAGATGATGCACATTTCTCTGTATCACACCTTTCATCCCCCACTGTATATTTCTGGTCAACATTTACTCCCAGTAAAGCAACCCCCTGCGCTCTAAATAGGATGCGCGCATTCATTTCCAGGTACGTCAGACAACACTTCGAATTAGAAAAGTACCTAAAATTACAGTCGTGATCCCAAAATCAGCTATAAAATGTAATTTGTAGCATGTTGAGGTCGTCAGTGCCCTCCCTGACCTGGGGCAGGGAGTCGGCTCTGGTGGCCAGTGTCCCCTCGGGAGCCCAGCCCTGCACACTCCCTGCTACCGGTCTCTCTCAGCTGAAGCTCTCTGCCGTAACCAGAAACCCGAGGTAGCAGCAGGGCCGAGGCAGCACATGCCATGCCTTCGTCCTGCGCTGCGGAGGGCGCTTGTGAGGGAGCACAGGCCACCTGCGCCATGTCGGGCGGGCAGTGGGCGGACCAGCCGTGTGTGGGGCAAGGGCCCTGGACAGGTGGCCACTCCGCTGTTTCTGTATAAGCGGGAAAATCTCCCATTTGTCAACCTTTCTGTCGTCATTGAAAAGCTTTCAGATTGACCCACCTGTTGACTTACTGCCCGACGCAGTGACCCCTGGCGTGGATACTGCTGTTTTTGAGAAAACAACACAGGTGTGACTTCCATGGAGAGAAAAGCAGATTCTGGAGAACCCCTGCGGTCATTTTGAAGTTGATCAACCTCGAATTAAGTTTCAGAGACACGGAACCACATAGGGAAATTGCTGTCAAACTGTGGATGAAACTTCTCAAGCCTCTAGCCCACAGGCAGCACGTCAGGAGGTTTCACTTTGCATGATGTGTTCATCAAAATCTGCCTCTGAAACCTCCTTTAGACATGGAAATGGCAACATTTCCCCCAAAATGCCATCACTGCAGACAGCGGCGGGTTCCCTTAACATGGCCTGGTGAGTGAACCCAGGGCTGACTATGCCGGTCACCAGCGTGCCGCTGTGACCAGGTGTGACAGGCAGGAGTGCAAGTGCCTGTCAAGGGCATCGACAGACAAGTCTAGGGGCCACTGCGGAGACACGTGCCGACGCCTCACGCTGCGTGTTCCTCGGAGTGCGGCCACGTGTGCGCCCAAGCTGCCCCTCACCCCGTCCTCTCCTCTTCTGCCCTGGCCTCGCCCGGCTACAGCTCCTCAGTGTGAGCAGAGGCCAGTGTGTAGACACGCTGCAGGGAGGCGATGGGCGTGCGTCCTACAGCGGTGTGTGGCGTGGCCCGAGGACACGTTAACTTGGAGTAACACTTTTGGTCACTGCTGGCTGCGCGGGACCTGACATTTGGCCATTAGGGAAGGAGTCAGCGCAGAATGACAGATTTGTGAAAGGGTCACAATGACAGTCACAGACACTTTGCTGCTGATTGAGAAACAGAAGTAACAGGCAAGCCTCACCTGCTTTGGTGCTGAGCATGGATGTCGCTGTCGAGGTGGGGACTGTGTGGAAAGACACGTGCGGAAATGCATTACCTGAATAATTCTTACTGGGAAATGTAGTGCCACAGGACCCTCCCTGGTGGCCAGCGGGTCAGGGCGCAGCACTGCAAGCTGGCTGCAGCCGCTTCAATGAGAGTCCCCCCCTGGCCGGGAGCGGAGCCCCAGGGCATCGCAGAACCCCCATCTCCCCGCTGCTCCCTCCACAGTGTGCCTCATCGACACGCCGGTGCTGCTCCCTGCTCTGTCTCTGGTGCGTCCTCTCACAGCCCCTGCATTGCTGGCCTGCACCCCAGCTCTGTATGCGTCAATAAATATATCTTTCTTTAAAAAAAAAAGAATCTAGTGCCATACATAAGCAAAATGTACCAAGATCGTTAGTAGACAAAACGCTTTTGTTTTCAAGAGAAATCCATCCCGTGGCCACCGTGTGCCCGCCCTTGACGATGACCCTTGTTCGTGACCATGCCCAGCCTGAGCCTCACGGTGGAGTCGGGCTCAGACCGAGTGGGCCCGAGTGGCCTGACTGGGCCCAAGTCTCCCGCTGAGCAGCCACAGCTGGGCTGACAGGGCGCCGGCAGTGATGTGGTCTCAGCTGTCAGAGGAGCATAGCTCTGAGCTCCTCCTTGACAGACCTGCCCCAAGCCTGTTCCACAGAAATGGAGCCCTTCTTTGGACCACACACGGGACCCCCCAGAGCCAACGCAGGGTCCCCCGGCCCCCACAACCACCCCCCGCTGGGTCCACCGCGGCGGTGCAGAAGCCCTCGGGGTGAGCCGCCTGCACCAGGGCCCGTGCGACTCGGCGTGGAGGTGGCCGGCAGCCACATCGCGTCTCCCGGCGAGTCCTGCGCTCACGCCCACACACGTGGCTTCGGGCATCACCTCGCATCTCCGGCCCTTGTCTGGACACACTGAGCTGCGGGAGCCGCTCGACACGCAGGCGCGCTGGGCCCCCGGCTGGGCTCGCTGTGGCGGAGCCAGGCTCTGACTCCTGCGCTTGAGGCGTCGCTACATGCAGACTCGCCAGCAAGCCCGCTCCTGGCCCGGGGCCGCGCGGAGACACCACGGGTCAGCACGGACAGGAACGCAAAACGCACATGCAGAGCTGAAGACGCTCTTACCTCCAGCTGTCGAATTCATGTCTGTTTCTGGAATAAACGTAAATCAGTGACACCGGCAGGACGCAAACCGGCCAGAGCCCCGGCCGCACGCGGCGCCCGCCCAAGCGACGGGCAACCGCGGGCTGTCCAGAAGTCCGCTGGGAAGGTTCTAGGGTGTGTGCGGCCTGATCACGCAACCCGACCTCTGTCCACCCCGCTGCCCGCTTTCGCCGGGGACCCCCAGGGCACCGGAGTGCCAGAGCCCACATTGCCAGCAGGCGGAAGGCCCCGGCCACGCAGGAGCTGAGCCGGCCCCAGGATGGCCGCCCCCGGCCAGGGCGCTGCAGGCTGGCTCTGTGCTGACCGCGGGGCAGGAAGGACACTCACCGCTGCACTCCAGCTCCCCGGCGATGCAGTAGCTGGAAGGTTAAAGAATGAGTCGGGTCTGCTCTGGGCCAGCAGCTCAGAGCTCAGCGTCGGTGTCGGGCCCAGCCCACCCACAGGGCCACCAAGGGGGCCTGGGGGCGCGAGCCGGTCCCCTCACAGGCGGCTTCGGCAGGGCCAGCTCCGGCCTCCCTGGGCGTCCCCTGCGGCGGGCTGGCCAGCAGCTCAGAGCCTGCCCAGGGCCAGCGCGGGGTGCTGCGGCCCGGCGCCCCCCCTGCTCGGGCCTCCTCTGCTGGGGCTCCCGCAGACGCTGCCAAACGTCCCCTGAAAGCGCCTCCGGGGCCCAGAGCCCCCCTGCAGCCCCCCCACACTCCGTTACTGTTTTCCTAAGTGAAAGTGATCTGGCTGCCCTTCGGGGAGCCCTCTGCCAGGTCCCATTTGAAGAGTGTAACACGGGGAAAGCGCCAGCCTCCCCCTCGG